ATAAATTTATCTATTATTTGCAAATCCTATGTAATTAAACATAAATAGTGTACTATCTATCATCTTTTTGTGTGTTTTGACTAAGAAATTTGAGCTCAAACTTAGATTCGATTATTTAAAATGTTTTGGTTAGTAATACCTTTCTTTAGCATTTGAAGTGTGTAAAAAGTCCTAGGAGGTTGCCATGTAAATAATACTGGAGGAATGTACTTAAATAAACAAATAAAAATTAATATTTTGGTGTTTAACTTTTATTATTATGATATTTTTCACTCAACGGTTTTGTTTATTTTAATAAACTCCATATGATAAGATTTATGATGATTTTGTAAAGGTATTGATTGATTTAAATAAACAAAATGACAAACATTTCGAAGCAACGAAAAAAAAAAACCAACAAGTTTGAAGTTGTAATTTTTCCAATCAATGTTACAACATATCAAAATAAACAAAATATAATGTTTCATCAAATATTGTAAAAAAAAGTTTAAATCTTATATTTTCGTGACAAATTCAGATTATAAGTATTATATTGATATGTTTAAATTTTCTTCGATTTTCCTTTTAAATGTATCTAATTATAATTTAAATTTTAGGTGAAAATGGTAAGATAAATAAATTGAATAAGTGAATTAATTAAAAACAAAATTAAATAGATAAATTAATAAATAAAGATTGATTAATACTCTTATCGGCTAAAATACCTAATACACAAACCCAATAATAAATAAAATATTATATATTATATATTTTTAAATAACTTTTTTAAATTATAGCTTAGTACTCTAAGATTAACTCTAATAATAATAGTTATATTATTATTAGTATTATTATTATTATTATTATTAATTATGATAATAATTAATAACCATGACATAAAAAAAATCTTTATAATAATGATGATATCTGATATTGAAAATAATAATAACAATATAATAAATAAAAAAATATAGCAATAATTTAAAGAGAGAAAATAGAAATGACATAATAATTAAATAAGAAATAAAAATGATTATTATTTTATAATTATTTTAAAAGTCAAGTTTTTACTATTTTTAGTTTCAGTTAATTTGTGTTGCATCACAAGTTTTTCTAAATTTAAATATAAAATAATTATATTGACATTATTTTTTATTATTTTAAAAATCAAAACTATTAAAAATGTGGAGTTTTTATTTTATTTTATTAGTTTATCTATTATTTTTTTAGGTATTATTACTTTATTACTTTATTATTTATTATTTTCTCCTATAATTTTACGTATTCATAATTATATTTAAACATAAATTCAAAAGAATTTAAATAAAATAATATAATAATAAATAAATTTAAATAAAGTATCATAATAATAAAATATGTATAAGAATTTTATTCATTCATTGTAATAAAAATAAAATAAAGAAAACATTAATGTTATTTAATAAAAAATAGGAAAAAAATTGAAAATGATCTTGAATTAAGAAAACGTTATTTGATTAAAATATATTAAAATCACATTACCTTTAAAGCTGTAGAGAGAAAAGGAAAATTAAAAAAAAAAGTTATTTTTTTCTTACAAACCTATAAACATAAAGAGAAAATAATAAAAGAAAGAATATGGAATATAAAATAAAAAATTCCGTCAAAAAGAAAATAAAAAATATAAAAAATAAAAGTTAGATTTTTTATTTTATATTATGAGTAAAAAAAATTTAGTAATTAATATTTTTTTTAGTTTATTTATTTAATTTCTCTTTTTTAATATTTTTTACGTGTGTAGAAAAAACTTAATCTGAAGGCACGTATTATATAAATAACCGTTAATTATAAAACATGATGAGGGTCAGTTTGGAATATGTGGGAACGGGGATGGGAAAAGATACCTCTTCCAATGCTGCCAAAGAGACATACTCAACCTTCCGTCGTCGTTATGTTATGTGACTCACAGCGGGAGATATTGATAGTTGATAAATAATATATTATTAATAAATAATAAATAAATATAAAAAGTAAAAATAAAATTATAAATATATATTTAAATATATTAAATAATTATTAAATTTGAGAGAGATAAAATTATAAATTATGAGAGTTATAAAAGGAAAAAGAACTAAAAAATAAAATTATAAATATTCAAGCAAATATATTAAATATTTATTAAATTTAAAAAATTAAAATTATAAATTAGATTAGAATTATAATATTAAATATTTATTAAATTTAAAAAAATCAAAATCCTAAATTAGATTAGAATTATAAAATTTTGAGAGAGGGTAATCTCCAAAAAAATCTGGCACCGCTGAGTCGTGACTCCAAACCACCGAAAAAGAGAAGAAATTTTTATAATTGTTATTTTATAATACTAAAAAGTTAATCGTGTTTTTTTTTTTATCCTTTTTCTTTCAAGTTAATTGCGAAAACATTATTTCGAGAAACGAACAATTTTGTCTTATAACTTTTCCCCCTTAAATATCCATTAGTTTGGATTTTCTTAATTCTTAAAAGCATTTCAAATGTGACAATTACGTGATGTAACGATGGGTGGTGCTATTCAAAAGGATGAGCGGTTAATTTACAAGTTTTTAAAATTTAGTTAATTATTATCTCTATTTGACTGGTTTATTTACATTGTTTTAATTTTAAAATGACTTAATGTTTTCAACTTTCAACGGAAGATTAATTAGTTTATTCATAATTTATCTCAAAATAATTAATTTTTCTGTTTCAATAAAAATAATGTTTTTCTTGAGAGAAGGAAATTATTTTAGTTAAATCTTTTAAAAAGTGATATATTTATGATTGTTATTATGTTAAAACAAAAACTCGAGTAGAAAATAATAATAAAGGAGTCATTACAATGAGGAACAAACATATTAACGTAACTTTATTTAAGAAGTATTAGATTTAATTGAATAAGAATATGGTGTATAATGGTTGAGGAAAATCCCCAGTCCTCCAAACAACTCATATTTTTTGAGCATTTGGTATGTTTGTAGCAAAGCAATGCGATAATACCGGTTGCCATAGTCTTGCTATCCTTCACACGTAGTTTGAAGGTAAATGCGCTGGAAATGTTACATATAATTTATAATACAAAGTTGATTGGTCCTAAAACCATTTATATGTTTAAAGATTTTATATATTATTCTTTCTTCATCCACTTAAATATTTTTTTTCAAGGATAAAATTATTAAGTATTAAAATTTTAAGATGAATAATATCTCATGATAATTAATTATAACAATGAAAACATAATAGATATGAGACCGCTTTCCTAGAGATAAAATATTGACATCCACACCTTAGTCCTTAATTGAGGTCTATAGTCTGGTATACTCATAAGTCCCTTAGAAGTTGAACCTAAGGGGATAATTTATATATACCATTATCTTTTAATCTACCAATACGTTTTTTAAGAATAAAACCGTGACAGATTAAAATTTTATAGTGAACAATATCTCAAATATGATAATTGACTTTAACAATGATATAATAGCAGATACAAGACTCAACATTTTCATTTCTAGAGATGGAATATTGACGCCCATCATGAGATCAAGAACAAAGTCTTATTCCATTTCTACTTACCTCTTAGTTTTGAACGGGAGGGTTATATTCTAGTATTATGATGAGTCTCACCGTAGTTTATATATACTCTTATTTTTAATCTACTTGAGACGTCTTTTAAAAATAAAATCATATAAATTTAGGGTGATTAAATTTTGAAATTTTTGAGATAAGGTATTTTATAAAATATCATCTCTTTGTATTTTTTATATAATTAATTTATTTTAAAATATTAAATTTTTTTCAACTCTTTAAATATATCTACTTTTTTCTTTATTAATTATATATCATATATTTTTTTTTATATTTTTACAATTTTTTAAATATATAAATCATAATAAATGTTCTTTCTTTAAATTATGTAAATTTTCTCTCTTGACAAACAAAAACCTTTACAAAATGAAATTCCCTTTATATATTATTATATATTAATTTTTTGTATAATTAATTCCTTTTAAAATATTATTTTAATTTTTTCTTTTTTCTTTTTACTATTTAAATATATCTACTTTTTTTCTCTTAAAAGTATAATATTTTTATTTTTCTCTTTCTGATGACACCAAACGAACAGTTACAAAAAGATTGCCTGTTATATATAAGTATAGATTATAGATAATAATTATATTTAAAAATAATAAATAATATTATATATATATATATATATATATATATATATATATTCATTTATACATCAAACTATTATATCTAAAAATAAAATAAATTTTATTAATATGATTTAAATTAAAAAATATTTAATTTTAATTTTAATTTAACTTATTTATATCTTTTATTTTTTAAAATTGGTCAAAATAAACTAATTATCTAAAGATAAATAGATCGAATCCGTTAGCCGACCGTCCTATTTTGAAAATAATGGTTACAAGATTTGATATAATAGATTCTAGTAGATAAAAGAAAAAAAAGAAAAAAAACTCAACCCATGCACATCAATTTGATTATTGCAGGCTTGATATAGTTCAAAATGCTCATTGATCAGTATATGCACCATTAAAGACTGAGATAATTGTTGTAATTGTAGTTCTAATCAAAATTTTGGAACTGTCTTTCAATAAGTATTAGTTAGCATATGCTAGCATGCAAACGAAGCAATGGGATTCATAAAATTGAAATTTTATAGTAAAAGCATCATAAAGCACTAGCAAAAGGATAGAAAGCGATTGAGAAAGACGTGCAAGTAGAAGTGCCATCGTGACCATTTCAAAATGCCGGCTGCAAAACCCACTATTCTGCCCTTTGGCTCATTTCCAAGGGTTTCTAATGTCAATTTCACGATGATCGTTACGGTATCGTCCATTTGGCAATGTTATGTGATTCCTTTGCACGTTGGTGTTTATTCACTACACTAGAGTTCAACCAATTTCACTATTTTGATTGTCCAAACCACCACAGAATATACATTGAAACCCAAAATATAGCCACCAAACACAGCAAAAATGAGTGTAAAACCCTTCTGGGTATTCTTCATTGCCATCTTTTTGTTTCTTCTAATGGCGAATTCAGAAGAAGACGAGGTGATCAAGGCCCTGGTCACATTTATGGAAAAACTGTCACCGGGGTATGTACCAAGAGACCCTACGTGGGGTTGGAACCTTTCATCAGATCCCTGCATTGATAAGTGGCATGGTGTGACGTGCTATTCAGACAACAAAAGCGTTAAGAGTGTGATTCTAGAGAAGTTTAATTTTGGTGGAGGGTTAGACGCCGGTTTTCTTTGCATTGCAAAGTCTCTTCAAATGCTTAGCGTGAAGGACAACAGTTTACATGATTCAATATCAGAGGATATAGGAAAGTGCAAGTTTTTGACTCACTTGTTTTTAAGTGGGAACCAGTTCTCTGGGGACCTTCCTGTTTCTATTGGCAAACTAAGTAACTTAAAGCGGCTTCATATTTCGGACAACCACTTCACTGGAGATCTTCCAAACATGGTTCATGTTTCAAGTTTGATATCCTTCGTTGCTCAAAATAACAACTTCACTGGGGAGATTCCTAGTTTTGACTTCTCCAACCTTGAGGCGTTTAATGTCTCTAACAACAATTTACATGGTCCAGTTCCTGATGTCAGTGGCAAATTCCATGCAGACAGCTTTTCTGGGAATCCTAACTTATGTGGAAAACCACTTTCAAATGCATGTCCACCACCACTACCACCTACTCCTGCACCACCACCTGAAAAGAAGGACCAAAAATGGTTCCCTAATGATTTGTCTATTTATTCTGGTTACTTAGTCCTTGGTTTAATTGTGCTAATTTTCTTGACCTTTAAACTGTTATGTAAGTTCAAGACCAAAGAAAAAGGATTGGATGTTGGAAAGAAGGAAAGGGCACAAGAAACTGTTGGTATTGTTGACAAGGGTAGTGAAATATCCAATTCCAATGGATCAAAGGATGGCACTGGGATTAGATCCGACTATTCATTGACATCTCTGGAAAGTGGGATGACAACATCAGGTCTCGTTCTTCTTTCAAGTCGAACCCTTCGAGGATTGCAATTTGAGGACTTGCTTGGCGCTCCTGCTGAATTGATTAGGAGGGGAAAGCACGGAAGCCTCTACAAGGTGATGCTAGATAATGGGGTGCTGTTGGCAGTGAAGAGGATTAAGGATTGGGGGATTTCAAAGCAAGATTTTGCGAGAAGGATGAATTTGATAGTGCAAGTGAAGCATCCACGCGTATTGCCACCTGTTGCATACTATTGTTCTCAGCAAGAGAAGCTCCTAGCATATGAATATATGCAGAATGGTAGTCTCTTCATGTTTCTCTACGGTAAGTGGTAACTTGTAAACAAGTTAAGGAGTCATTACAATCATTTTACATAGGAAGTAATAAACCTATGGTGCTTATAGTTTGACATACTAATGCTTATTACATAAGTAGTCACTAAATGGAAGTACTTTTAAACTAGGAAAAGGGGTGCCTTTCCTGCCTGTGACAATGAAAACTAAAATTTGCTTGCCATCTAATGATGTCATCTAATACATTGCTTATAATTAGTTTTCCTCACATGACACTTATTTTCTGTTGGACAAACTTTTACAGTTCTTTCGATACTTGTAATGTAGTTTTCCAAAAAAAAAAAAAAAAAAAGAAATTCAATTGATGATCAACCTTAAAAGTTTGTATTATAATTTAATTTATATGAAACCAGTTAGGAGTTCCAAATTTAGTAGAATAAACTGCTTTATATAATATTTATGTTTTGATAGGCTCTCATTGAATGAATTTGTTATTTGACTTGGATTGTCCTTTTTTATATACGTCCTTATAAAACTCTTTATAGGAGAATAGCAGGATATGTATATATAACTTTTCCTGTCCATTTATGGGATATCTCTGTCATTTCTATTTTAAGGCCTACGAACTTTTTCAGTGGTAGCATACCAGCATTGAAATGCAGCCTGGAAGAATAAATCTAATCAAATGTGTCTTCCCGTTTTTAGGATCTCAAAGTGGCCACTCTTTTGACTGGGGAAGCAGACTAAATGTTGCTGCTAAGATAGCTGAGGCTTTGGCATATATGCATGAGGTGTTTCTTGAGAATGGAATAGCACATGGTAACTTAAAGTCAAATAACATTTTGTTTGACAAGAATATGGATCCATGCATAAGCGAATATGGCCTAATGTTGGCACAAAATCAAGATCAATTTGTCCTTTCGCACAACAGAGGCATCAAAAGCGAAGATCTAATTGCAGCCACCTTCAAAGCTGATGTATATGCCTTTGGTATGATACTTCTCGAGCTGCTGACAGGGAAAGTAATTAAAAATGATGGATTTGATCTAGTTAAATGGGTGAATTCAGTGGTCAGAGAGGAATGGACCATAGAAGTTTTTGACAAGTCCCTAATCTCACAAGGTGCCTCTGAAGAGAGGATGATGAATTTGTTGCAGGTAGCATTAAAATGCTTAAATCCTTCTCCATATGATAGGCCAATTATGAGCCAAGTTGTTGCGATGACAAATGCTTTGGTAGAGGAGGAAGAAAAATCCTTATCACCTGACACATGACTAAGAGTTTAGCTTTAGTTATATACTTCTTCTCATCAGATTATAAAAAAAAGAGTCATCTTTCAGGATGTATATAAAATGCTCTAATTTTTGTTAGTTCCCAGCAAATCATGATCAGAATTCACTAATACGGGAACTTTATAACGTGGTAAATGATCCCAAGATTGGCTGTAGTTTCAGTTAGCAAGAGGAGTGTCCTTCCAGTGAGAACAGAAAAGTTTTACATTTCTACACCTTATCAGTCATTACTTTTCTGCATCCCTGTAATGACATGTGTTTTTTACATAATTCTATTCCTCTCAAACCGAGCTGCATTGTACTTCAATAAATATATAGAAAACCGATAAATAGACACCCAAAATACCAAATAATTATAAATCTTTTAGATGTTATGATATGATAGAAATTGAGAAATAGAGAAAAATAATGGAAGTTGATTAAGTGTCTAAAAATAATGAATATATTCATGTATCATTACTTAAATATATTATGCTAATAACGTGGTCTTACAAAGTTACGCAGCAATTACTTTTAAATTATGGTGAAAAGCAGATACTATAATTTCAATGGTGAAAAAAACAAGCAAAGTTTAGAACTCTAAGGCAAGCTCAAAAGTATTGAGTGAAAAGCAAACGACATTTAATGCAAGAAAGCAAACACCATGCTTAGGAATCATTTGCATGTTGGGGGATATAATATGCATGTTTGGTTTGAGTATTCAGGTCACATTGGAAAGCCATTTGCGAATTCCACATTAGTGAAATTGATGTGAGAATTCGAATGTACTACTTTATGCGAATCGAAATACACTAAATATCACTAACCAAATGTCACATCCTTGTATGTTGACGACCCAATGAAAATTTCATCTTTTAGACACATTCTAAAGCCAACTCAAATATGCAAATAAACTACAAGGGCACTCACTGCAATCCGCAAGGTTATACTTAAAGACGTTGTTTGAAAATCAATGGGTATCCGTAAGGATAAAAAATAAATAATTCAACTGCAGTAGTTGCTGAAGAAAAGACCACAGACAATACCTCCAAGGAGGTCATTACATTGCATATTGTTAAAAAAAAGGAGGTCATTGCATTGATGGCAGCTAGAGATAACGGTGGTAAGTTTTTAAAATTTTCTGTACCTGTTACCAATCACACATGGCCAGAAAGATTTCATCCATTAGACCAACAACTTCGGTTAGTCATATTTTATAATTACATTTATAAGTTATTCACATTAATAATCATATAAGTTATTTTTACATCTAAGATGAAGTTAATATAAATGATCTAGAGACAAAACCCAATAAATTGACAATAGAAAATTAATATCTTCAAACTTCTAATGAAATTATTAAACTACGTACGTAACGTTACCAAGATTAACAAATAAGACAAATAGATAATTGATCAGAGCTATAAGATGTAAGCTCAAGAAAAACATCGGTTTTTCATATGTATTGTACTATTCATGATTATACATATTTATTGTATCATTCTAGTAATGTTAACTCGAGTTACAAAGTATCTTTTACAATTACGTACCTACACATATGAGTTAGAATACTCTATACTATTGGTTGACAATACGACAAAACTACTAAACCTATGTCAACAAATGCATTAAGTGTCAAGAGTATGGCAACCTCATCCACACTGTCCCATAAAACCTGCACAACATCAATTCACCATGGACTTTTGCTATATGGGGAATGGATATTGCCAGACCTTTCCCTCCCGCCAAAGGACAATGCAATTTCCTCCTTATAGTATTTGATTATTTCACCAAGTGGTGGAGGCGGAACCCCTACACTACTACAAATAAGGTTTTCCACGTCGGTTCTGGAAGGCCTTCAACGGCGGTTCCAGAACCGACGTTGTATCAGGCGACGTTGAAAGTCGGTTCTATTTAACCGACGTGGAAAGTCTGATTTTAACTTTCCACGTCGGTTAAATAGAACCGTTGAAAGTCCTGACTTTCAAATCGAAATTTTTTATTTATTTCCAACCCCTAACTTTCCACGTCGATTAAATAGAACCGTTGAAAGTCCTGACTTTCAAATCAAAAATTTTTATTTATTTCCAACCCCTAACTTTCCACGTCGGTCAAATAGAACCGTTGAAAGTCCTGACTTTCAAATCAAAAATTTTTATTTATTTCCAACCCCTCTCCCCTCTCTCTATTTATCTAGAAATCCCTCCTCTCTTTTATATTATATTTTTATTAGGTCCCTCTCTCTTTTATATTATATTTTTATTATTTATCATCTTTTTTTAAAGTTTAGAGCATTACCAAATTAATTTTTTGTCACCGACAGATTCGAACCCAGTACCTTAGTGTTGAAGGCCGATACTCCAACCACTAAACTACTCGAATTTTTTGATAATAACTTACAAATAAATTATATTTATATACAAATAAATATATATATCCGTGTAAATATATAAACATATAAATACAAATATATTTATATATTTTGATATATTTATATAATTATATATTTATATGTTGGATGTGAGGGCACGCTCGAAGGTGAAAGTGTGTCGAGTGAGTTTTCAAAATTTGATGTCAAATTTGTGAGCGAGTCTCTTTATATGGGTTTGTAATTTAATGACAGAATATAATATTTATAATTTATTAATGATATAAAATAAATATGAGAAATGCATCATTCGCTCAAGCTGAAAAATACCAATTTTCGCTCAAGCGAGACTTGAACGAGTGAATTTCCGTGAGTTTTAACGTATTTTCACTCAAGCGAGAGTCAATCTCACTTTCACCCTCGAACGCGCCTTCACATCCAACATATAAATATATAACTATATAAATATATATAAATATATCAAAATATATAAATATATTTGTATTTATATATTCTATATTTATATATTTACACGAATATATATTTATATGTATATAAATATAATTTATTTGTAAATTATTATAAAAAAATTATAGTAGTTTAGTGGTTGAAGTATCAATTTTCAACTCTAAAATACTGGGTTCAAAAAATCTCGTTAGTGACAATTCTCTAACTTAAGTAAATTTTTGGTCGAAAAAAATAAAAACACTTTCCAGAAAATATATATATTTACACGGATATATATTTATTTATATATAAATATAATTAATTTGTAAGTTATTATCGAGAAAATTACGAGTAGTTTAGTGGTTGGAGTATCAACTTTTAACTCTAAAATATCTGGGTTCATCCTGTCAGTGACAATTCTCAAACTTAAGTAAATTTTTGAGTCGAAAAAAATAAAAACACTTTCCAGAAAATATATATAAATAAATATATATTTACACGGATATATATTTATTTGTATATAAATATAATTAATTTGTAAGTTATTATCGGAAAATTACAGTAGTTTAGTGGTTGGAGTATCAACTTTCAACTCTAAAATACTTGGGTTCGAATTCTGTCAGTGACAATTCTTGAAATTAAGAGAATTTTTGGGTGAAAACACATTCAACGTCGGTTCATCTGGGAACCGACGTTGAATGTCTAAATTAAAAGACTTTCAACGTCGGTTCATCTAGAACCGACGTGGAAAGTGCTTTCTACGTCGGTTGACTAAGAATCGACGTAGAATGTGTCCAACATTCCACTTTCAACGTCGTTTTTTAACCAACCGACGTTGAAAGTGTATTTAACGTCGGCTTAGCTTTAACCGACGTTAAATGGCGACGTTGAAAGTATATTTTGTAGTAGTGCTAGCTACAATAACCCACAATAGGTATGAAAGTTCGTCTAGAAGAGCATAGTATGTCGGTTCAGAATATTCCACACAATCATAACCGATGATGCCAAGAAATTCACAAATAAGGGGTTGATTAACTTTTAACAAGGCTTGAGTATCCGATATCTCACAAGCTTTGTCGAACATATGCGAACTAACACTACTAAAAAATATACTTTCTACGTCGTCTCGATTATAGCTAAGACGACGTAGAAAGTATTTTCTACGTCGGTTCCCAGATAAACCGACGTTGAAAGTTGAATATTAAACACATTCTACGTCGGTTTTTAGTCAACCGACGTTGAAAGTACTTTCTACGTCGGTTCCCATATGAACCGACGTTGAAAGTCTTTTTATTTTTTATTTTTTTTTCACTTATTGACACTTTCCACATCGGTTCCCATATAAACCGACGTGGAAAGTCTTTTTTATTTTTATTTTTTTTCACCTAAAAATTCACTAAAATTTGAAAATTGTCACTGCGTGAATTCGAACTCGGGATTTTAGAATTAAAAACTAATACTCTAACCACTAAACTATTATAATTTTCTAATAATAACTTACAAATAAATTATATTTATATACAAATAAATATATATCCATGTAAATATATATTTATTTGTATATATTTTTTGGAAAGTATTTTTATTTTTTTTAGCCAAAAATTCACTTAAGTTAATGAATTGTCACTGATAGCATTTGAACCCGAGTATTTTAGAGTTGAAAGTTAATATCCCAACCACTAAACTAATATAATTTTTTAATAATAACTTACAAATAAATTATATTGGTATTTTTCGATCGAGGGTGAAAGTGGGATTGACTCTCGCTTGAGTGAAAATATGTTAAAGCTCACGGAAATTCACTCGATCAAGCCTCGCTTGAGCGAAAATTGGTATTTTTCGCTTGAGAGCGAATGATGCGTTTCCCAAAATTATTTTATATCATTATATAAATAAAATTATAAAGATTATATTACGTCATTAAATTACAAACTCATATAAAGATATCTGCTCACAAATTTAGCATCAAATTTTGAAAACCCACTCGACACACACTTTCACTTTTGAGTGTGCCCTCACATCCAACATATAAATATATAGATATATAACTATATATATATATATATATATCAAAATATATAAATATATTTGTACTTATATATTTATATATTTACACGGATATATATTTATTTGTATATAAATATAATTTATTTGTAAGTTATTATCGGGAAATTCTAATAGTTTAGTG